TATTCCCAACAAGTCAGGAAACAAAAGCTATTATTTCTGCTGTGTTGTTGTTACAGGTGATAGATTTTCCTCCCCCCAAAAAGCTCAACAACTTTGAGTTTGCCCCCCCTAAAAAAAACCTGGGGGCAGCTAAACTAAATTTGGGGGCACTGGTCAGATCTTTGCACCCCGGTACCACATATGCTATAGACAGCCCTGGTTTTGTTGTTCCAGCTGGCATTTTAAATGAAGTCTGGTTTTGCAGTTTTAACAGATTTTCTTCTTCAATGTGGCCATCTGTCTGGGCTGCTTTAGGGGAGATCCCTGCATCGCAGGGGGTTGGACTAGATGGCCCTTGGGTCTCTTCCAACTCTAAGTTTCTATGATTCTACATTTTGTATCCCTTGCACACCGCCTGGGGGCAACTGGCCTGATCCAACAGGATCTTCTTAATCCCTTATGGAAACTGGAGGAGGGGTGTTTAAGATGTTTAAGGAAATGGAAATTTGACAATTAAGAGGTAAAATTTTAATGTTATATTACATTAAGATCAAAGATTAGGTTTAAAGAAGTTGAAGTTATATATTATATTAAAATTAAAGATTGGGATTAAAGTGGAAAAGAAATTGCTGGACAAACAATTTGGATTGGAATACAAAAGAGGGAGGTATGAGGAAGTCTAGAAAATAAGTAAATTCAAAAACGGAAATGGAAAAGAGATATTGTTTTTAATTGTTATGTTTCTTTTTATTGTTGAGTCTTGCTCTTCGTGTTTTTTTTTTTTTCTTTCTGGGATTTGTATTGTGTATTTGTGTATCTTTTTATGTTTTTTTTTCTTTGCTGTTTAATTTTTGATTGAAACTTTAATAAAAATTATTTAAAAAAAAAAAAGAGGAGGGGAGGGTGCTTTTGCACTCAGGGGCTTCCCAGGGGGGTCACTTGGCTGGCCCCTGTGAGAACAGGATGCCGGACTCGTGATGTTCTTAATTTGGCACACTGCCAAATTATGGTGCCACAAAAGCAGGGCCAGTGGCTGATGGGAGCTGTAGTACGAAACATCTGTTACATCAGAGGAGTCATGGCACTGGGAAAACCCAGGGCAGAAAACTTGGGAGGCTGTGGGGAGAAAGGAGGCAGGCAACTGAACAGATTTAATAATTTATTTATACCCCACCCATCTGGCTGAGTTTCTCCAGCCACTCTGGGCGGCTTCCAGTCGGGTGTTAAAAACAATACAGCATTAAATATTAAAAGCTTCCCTAAACAGGGCTGCCTTCAGATGTCTTTTAAAGATAAGATAGCTGCATATTTCCTTCACATCTGAAGGGAGGGCGTTCCACAGGGCGGGTGCCACCACCGAAAAGGCCCTCTGCCTGGTTCCCTGTAACCTCACTTCTCGCAATGAGGAAACCGCCAGAAGGCCCTCGGCGCTGGACCTCAGTGTCTGGGCAGAACGATGGAGGTGGAGACGCCCCTTCAGCTATACTGGACCGAGGCCATTTAGGGCTTTCAATGTCAGCACCAACACTTTGCATTGTGCTTGGAAATGTACTGGGAGCCAATGCAGATCTCTCAGGACTGGTGTTATGTGGTCTCGGCTGCCGCCCCCAGTCCCCAGTCTAGCTGCCGCATTCTGGATTAGTTGCAGTTTCCGGGTCACCTTCAAAGGTAGCCCCATGTAGAGCACATTGCAGTAGTCCAAGCGGGAGATAACTAGAGCATGCACCACTCTGGTCAGACAGTCTGCGGTCAGGGAGGGTCTAAGCCTGCGTACCAGATGGAGCTGATAAACGGCTGCCCTGGACACAGAATTGACCTGTGCCTCCATGGACAGCTGTGAGTCCAACATTACTCCCAGGCTGCACACCTGGTCCTTCAGGGACACAATTACCCCATTCAGGACCAGGGAATCCTACACACCTGCCCACCCCCTGTCCCCCCAAAACAGTACTTGTCTCTTGTCAGGATTCAACCTCAATCCGTTAGCTGCCATCCATCCTCCAACCGCCTCCAGGCACTCACACAGGACCTTCACCGCCTTCACTGGTTCTCATTTGAAAGAGAGGTAGAGCTGGGTGTCATCCGCATACTGATGAACACCCAGTCCAAACCCCCTGATGATCACTCCCAGTGGCTGCATGTAGATGTTGAAAAGCATGGGGGAGAGGACAGAACCCTGAGGCACCCCACAAGTGAGAGCCCAGGGGTGGTCCTCTAGGCTCAGCAGTGCTCTGGCCTCCGAGGAGAAGATGGAGGCAGAATGACAAGAGCTCTTCCGTTTCTGCATCCTGGCCTGCGGCTCCAAGAGGCAGAACACGGCCTGCTCGCTTTTTATGGCTGCTTAATTGTTGCAATGCTTATCTTATTTATGATTGTAATTGTACGTTACCGCTCTTGAATTTTGCAAATAATTTGTAATTGTATGTTATTGCTCTCGAACTTTGCAAATAATTATACAGCTTGCTTCATTTGCAAAACTTATCCCGGTTGCAATTCAGCGGACCGCTTTGCTCTCTCATGCAAGCTGAGGCTTGAAGATTTAGGGCAGCTGTTACCAACGCAATCTGGTTTCAAGCTGGAGCTGTGGCTGGCAACCGGGGTTCTGTATGAAGGAGAAGGACGGTAGCCTCTCTCCCTTCCTCTGGCAGAAGGAAAATCTCTACAGTTCACTGGCAGGAAGCCATGGAAGTTAAACTAGGGTATGACTGGAGTACAGACCTGCCGCTGCTGCAAGGTTTTTGTCCCACAGAAAAGTACAGATCAGAAGGTATGAGAGCAGTTTCAGCCTTGGGCAGAAAGATATGCATTCTCCCCAAAGAGGGTTTGCAGCACAAAAGAAGACAAGAAAGGAAGCGAATCTGCATAAAATCTGCATGTATAAAGTTCTTCCTTAGTCACAATCTCCTTTCTTGTTATTTGAATGCATTGGTTTGAGTCCTCCACTCTGGAGCAGCAGAAAACAAGCTTGCTCCTCTTCAGATAAAAAGGTAAAGGACAGTTAAGTCCAGTCAAAGGCGACTATGGGGTTGTGGCACTCATCTTGCTTTCAGGCCGAGGGAGCCAGCGTTTGTCCACAGACAGCTTTCCAGGTCATGTGGCCAGCATGACTAAGCCGCTTCTGGTACAACGGGACACCCTGATGGAAACCAGAGCACACGGAAATGCCGTTAACCTTCCCGCCACAGTGGTACCTATTTATCTACTTGCACTGGTGTGCTTTTGAACTGCTAGGTTGGCAGGAGCTGGGACACAGCAAGGGAGCTCACTCCGTTGTGGGGATTTGAACCACCAACCTTCAGATCAGCAAGCCCAAGAGGCTCAGTGGTTTAGACCACAGCGCCACCCACATCCCTTCTCCTCTTCAGATATTGAAAGAGGGCTCTCATATCACCTCTCAGTCTCATTGAGATTCCTGCATTGAAGGGGGTTGGACTAGAAGACTCCAAGAATCCCTTCTGACTCAACAATTCCACGATTCGTCTTCTCCAAGCTAAACATCCCCAACTCTCTCAGCCATTCCTTGCAAGGCTTGGTTTCTGGAGGCTTGGCCATCTTGGTCGCCCTCTTCTGCACACCTTCCAGCTTGTCAATATCCTTCTTAAACTGGGGTGCCCAGAACTGGACTCCAGGTGTGAGTGGTTCAAATTGCACATCCGAGGTCCGGCAGCCCTCCTGGAACTTGAGAGCAGGCTTGGTTTGTGTGCCAGGAGTCATTCCTCTCCAGTGGCTGTGGCTTCCATTCAGAAAAGGGGGAAGGGGAGTGGATGTGCTCCAGATGTCCACACGCCCCCCTTCTGAAACTCCAAGTCCAGGTCTTGGGGTGGGGAACAGAGGACATTGACTTCCACCGAAAGGACTCCAGGGTCCCGGCACACCAGGAAGGTTATAAATCCAGCACTGGCTGAGCTGAACGGACCCAGGTGTGCTGGTCCTGTGGGTTACCCGAGAGGCAAGGTCCAAGTCCGATCCGTGGTCAAAAGTGCAACGTGGAGGCAGTCCGTAGTAGCTGAAGCTGGGTGCAGGGCAGGGAGCTGGGTGAAGTCAGAAACAGGCTTTCAAAGCCAGGGCAGGTTACGAGCTCAGGCAGGAACAGGCTACCAACAATGTTGCTCCCGCAACTTGGGACTGGGGCTGGCTGGCTTTTATCTGCCCCAAGGCATAGGGCGGCCCCGATCCTCTGGTGCCTCGCCTCTCCTGGCCTGGAGGCGAGCCCTCCTCCTGCAGGAACTTAGTTCCCCCCGCCTCTCTGCCCTGAGCCTCTGCAGCTCAGGAGAGGCTGGAGGGTTATCAGACCCAGAGGCAACCTCACCTTCCCCTGACAGGGCTGAGAGTGGAGCACCTGCAGGCAATGGGTCCTCCATCCCCTCAGGAGCCAGAGCAGACTCAGCTGATGCCTGCACCTGAGGACCCAGCACAGGTGAGGACCCTTCAGGCTCAAGCCCCAGCCCCGGCTCAGCTGGTTCTGGAGGCGGGGAATCCTGTGCAGGCTGGGATTCCTCAGGTTCAGCATCCGAGTCCGAATCCCAGGCCATCACACCAAGTGACTCTGCAATGCAGCTCCACGTCCGAGGCTGCGCATACGGAGCCCCAGGGTAAGGAAGGCTGCACCAGCTCAGCAGTGGACCCTGGGATGAGGGAGAAGATCACATGCGCCAACTTTTTCCAGGTGTTTGCTCCTCCGCAGGGCGGCCAATGTCTCCCTTGGTGTCAGTCGGGTTCCAGTTTTGAAAATCCACATTAATGTGATGATGGTACAGCGAGAGTCGAGGGAGAGGAGGAGAGGAGAGGGACCAGATGTGGGGAGAGATTTTAGCAGGTGGGTGTCTGACTGGAAGGGAAGGCACAGGAGGACATAGATCATAGAATCATATAGTTGGAAGAGACCACGAGGGTCATCTAATCCCCAGCAATGCAGGAACATAGCTGTCAGCTTTCCCCTTTTTTAAAAGGGAAATTCCCTTATTCTGAATAGGATTCCTCGCAAGAAAAGGGAAAAGTTAACAGCTATGTGCAGGAGTCTTTTCCCCAAAGTGGGGCTCGAACCCACAGCCCCGAGATTAAGAGTCTATTGCTCTACCAGCTGAGCCAGAGCCTGCTGGATCAGGCCAATGACCCATCTAGGCCAGCATCCTGCTCTCACCATGGCCAACCAGATGCATTTTCTGGGAAACCTATAAGCAGGATTCGAACACAAGAGCACCCTTCCAGCAACTGGGAATTGGAAACACCACTGACTCCATCCATGGAGGCAGAGCACAGCCGTTTTATCAAGGAGCCATCAGTGATTTTGTCTAATCTTTTTTGAAAGCCAATCATGTCAGTGGCCATCCCTACCCCCTGTGGCAATGAGTTCCATAGCTTAACTATGCACTGTGCAATGGAGTCCTTCCTTTTATCTGTCCCGAACCTTCCGACTTTCAGCTTCATGGGATATAATAATAATAATAATAATAATAATAATAATAATAATAATATTTGTACCCCGCCCATCTGGCTGGGTTTCCCCAGACACTCAGGGTGGCTTCCAACAAAGTATTAAAATACAGTAGTCTGTTAAACATTAAAAGCTTCCCTAAACAGGGCTGCCTTCAGATGCCTTCTAAAAGTCAGACAGTTGTTTATTTCCTTGGCATCAGATGGGAGGGCATTCCACAGGGCGGGCGCTACTACCAAGAAGGCCCTCTGCCTGGTTCCCTGTAACTTGGCTTCTCACAGGGAGGGAACTGCCAGAAGGCCCTTGGCACTGGACCTCAGTGTCCGGGCAGAACGATGGGGGTGGAGACGCTCCTTCAGGTATACTGGACCGAGGCCGTTTAGGGCTTTCAAGGTCAGCACCAACACTTTGAATTGTGCTCGGAAACGTACTGGGAGCCAATGTAGCTCTTTCAAGACCGGTGTTATGTGGTCTCGGCGGCCGCTCCCAGTCCCCAGTCTGGCTGCCGCATTCTGGATTAGTTGTAGTTTCCGGGTCACCTTCAAAGGGAGCCCCACATAGAGCGCATTGCAGATGTCCACGACTTCTAGTTTTATGAGACACAGAGAAATATTTTTCCCTCTATCCATTTCCTCCACACTAGGCATCATTTGATAAACTTCTCTCCTGCTACTTGTGACTCGCTTCTTTTCTAAGCCAAAAGTTAACCTTAACTATTCGAGGCGAACGAATACATGTATCTGTGGGACAGTAAAAAGAAGTGCTGTCAGGAAAAGCACACTTCTAAAAGGAGTAAAGGAAGCTCAGAAGCAAAGTCTCCTCTTTCTTCCCAGAGCAAACGGCTCTTTTCATGCATATTTATAAATTCTTTATCCCACAGGTTCAAGGTGACTGGAGAGCAGCACTGAAACCCTCATCAGACGACCGCCTTGCATGGACAGCTCTCTTTGAAGCAGCAGCCCTAGGATAGGACAGCTCCTCCAGAATCACTGTCAGGCAGAACTACTGGCTGCACACTTAGCATGAGCTGCGTTCAAGGTTCCGGTAGCGATTTACACATAGCTGTCAAGCGTCCCTTATTTGGAGGGACGGTCCCTTATTCCGGTGCCATGTCCCGCTGCTGTCCCCTATTGATGGATGTCCCTTAAATTTCCCGGGTTGCAAAGGAAGCAGCTCCTCTCCCTCCCTGCCTGCCAGCCAGGGAGGAGGGAGGCTCCAACTGTGTTGCTTGGCTGCCCGCCCTGCCCCCTCCGGCCTCCTCTCACCAGCCTCGGCCCCCGGGAGCCCCTCCCCGCCGGGACTGGTGGGAGCCTCGGGCCCTTCCGCCACCATCCTCCTCGTGGCCACCAAACTGAGCGTCTCTGCCTGGGGCCTCCCCTCTGCCCATCACCGCCGCTCCCGCTAAGCCGTACTTCGGCTGTGCCTACGAAGGACCCGAATGAGATGGGCAGCCTGGCATGGCCTATGAATTGATGAGGAGCCTTGAGAGGAGAGCGAGGGCAACCAGAGAAAGCAGTTCAGAGAGAGGAGGAGGCGGAGGCGCGGGCAGGTGTTCCAAGGGCTACAAGGGAAGGACCGCAAGCGCTTCTCCCATAGATTTGTAGTGGTAGACTAGCATAGATGGTCTGATCTGTGGGTTTACTTCGGGCGCTATTTCCCCCCCCTCCTCCTGTCCCACCTGAGAGCTGCAGATGGAGCACGAGAGAAAAGATACAGAACTGCAGCAGCATCTTCGTAGCTTGGACTTCGTTTTGCGCGAAAAGTGGTTGCTGCTTGTAGTTATGTAATTGCAGTGTTTCATCGGCTGGTGTCTTGAGCAGCAACCTCTGGAAATGAAGGGCTAAATACTGGCACTGCTCTCCAAAATTATCTGGTCCCTTTTAACTGGTTGGCTAAAATACCTTATTTTGGCTGCTGGTCCCTTATTTTCAAATCTGTAAGTTGACAGCTATGGATTTACAAAGCTCTGGAAGACTTAGGTCCAGGGCATGCCAGAGATCGCCCAAACACTTCTATCCCAGCTCGATCGTTTAGATCATCTGCCGAAGAAGAACTGTTGGTTGCTCCTCAAGTTGGTGAGGCTCATCAGACAATGAGAAACCCAGCCTTTAGTACCATTGTCCCAGTCCTGAGGAACTCTCTGCCACTGGAGAGTCAGCAGGCAATTGAGAACACATCTTTCTGCGATGGGCAATTTATGTGTGTTTTTAACTTTGATGTGGTTGTAATTGTATGGCTTGTTCCATTTTTATTGCTGTCAACCACTTTGACATGGAGGTATACAACAAACACTATATATAAAAAATGTTTAAGTATAACTTTATGAAAAATACAGAAGCTTTTGTACTAGGGATAACGGACACAGATATAGCAAGAGAAGATCAGAAAATATTCCTCTATGCCACAGGAGCGGCAAGGATCCTCACTGCTAAAAACTGGAAAAAAGAAACTGTGCCAACAAAAAAGGAATGGCAAGACAAACTGTTAGAGTATATTGAACGGGCTAGATTAACAGAGGCAATTAGAGATCACACTAGACAAGAGTTTCAAAAAGCGTGGGGAAAATGCAGAGAATACTTCACAAAACAGTGCCCTAAAATACACACCTGGACTTGTTTCGATTAACGTCTGCAGGAGACTTTGTGGATATTTAAGTGATAATTAGAAAAATCTGAATAATTACTCATCAAGGAAACAGCTTATAAGAAGTAAATAAGGAGGCCAGCTGCAGGATAAAGGAAGTCTTTTATTTGGTTGTTTGTGTTGTTGTATGTTATGCTCGCTGTATGTTATGTTCACGTTTAATGAGGGTGGATTTCTGTATTGGGGGTGGGGTGGGGGGGTTTATGTTATGTTGTAAACAAAATTTCTATAAATAAATAAATAAATAATCACTGTAAGTGATAAATAAACAAACAAATACAGCAAGTCCAAGGATGCAGCCGAGCACCCCTGAAACTGCCACCCCTGTCCTGTCCTGACCGCCCTGCTCCTTCTTTCACGAGCCAGTGCCTGGGAGAGGATCCGTCCCGCTGGCTGGAGGGCAATAAAACCTCAAACTATCCCCAGATGTCTCTCTTGGCGCATTAGGGACCCGTCATCTGCGCATCACATGGCGTGTCAGAGGTGGCGTCCCCCCTAATCGCCTTTTGATATGCGGAATAATTAGCCGGGCCAGGATACTGCTTTTTAAATGCTGTGTGTTCTCTTCCCACAATTCGCCCAAGGCCCCCAATAGAAAACCGGGGGTGGGGTGGGGTGCGAAGTGTGCGCTCTCTCAATGAGCTCTCTCCTTTGCAACCAGAATGTAAACACCATCTGTCAAGGCTGTGCGAGTCATTAGGGCTCCTGAAAAGCAGATCAGGATCCATCGATGTGGCTCGGCTTTCGCCCTCGCCCAGGTACGCCCCGTGCTCTGCAGAGCAGCAGCCAAGAGCTCCCTCAGACACATTTGCAACACTAAGACAAAAGTCTCCTGAGCTGCTTCCCACTCAGAGCATGTGGAACCCAACAAACTTGTCCCTGCAAATCCTGGCATGTTGACCCAAGTTCAGGAGCACTTCAGTGAGCGAGTTCAGGACTCAATCTATCCGTTTCTGGAGTATTCTCCATTAACTACCGTATATTTCCGTGTATAAGACTAGGTTTTTTTCCACAGAAAAACAATGTTTAAAATTGGGGGTCGTTTTACACATGGGTAGTGCCTGTTAGAATTCCTGCTCTGTGACTGCACTCATGGGATTGTTGTCTTTCACATGACGGTGTATGTTTTGACTCCACAGAGTGGGAAGTGACGGAGACAGGATGTTTGTGTTACTGTGTTCCGTGAAGTGGGACTATTGTCCTTTGCTCTTTGCTGTCTGATGCGAGAGAGAGAGGGAGCCATGTTACAGTGCTCCGTGTGTGTTTATGTGTAAATAGAGTAGATTAGCCAAAATGCTGAGTTGCTGAGGTCTGTCACGCATGATGCGCAAAGACTCTGCAGATCCCTAAGTGTGCCGGTGTCTGTTGGCATCGGTCGCTGTGATGTTCAGGCTGAATAAAGCTTTTGAAGCTCCCGAACGATCGACCAGGAGGGAGGGATCATGCCAGTCTGGCATGTGTCTCTGCCAGGGTCCTACTCGAGTGTAGGCTGAACTCCTGGCGGTGCCTGGGGGGGAGGGAGACGTGGTATTGATTGACACTGCAAGTCAGAGATGGTCTGTAGCGTGTTACTGGTGTCTGTGGCAAGGGGTGGTGTTGACTGGTTGCTGCTGCAGCAATTGGGCAGGTAATAGGCTGCTTCTACTGGTGAAGGGACAGACGTTAGGAAGTTTTTGCGATGTGCGCAAGTGAGTTTTCCCCCCGGCAATCCCCCCCCCAAAAGCTCAACAACTGTGGGCAATCTCACCCCCCGCCATTTTCTACGTTTTTGGTCCTCAAAACTAGGGGGCGTCTTATACATGAGGGTGTGCCATACATGGCTGTCCTGGGCAGGCTTTGCCAAGCAGGCTCAGAAGGGAAGACAAATCAGGAACAAAGCCGAGGTCATCTTCCTGCACCTTCCTCCTGCGGTGCAGGTTCAAATCCCCACTAAGCCACAAAACCCCTTGGGAGACTTTGGGAGGGTCCCTCGCTCTTGGCCTGGCCCACTTCGCAGGGTTGTTGTGAAGACAAAAACACGTTG